CCTCAGATATTCTTACTTCATTTTATTGCTTTCTTTCCCCTCTACAAGCATTAATCACCACACAGAGGGCGCGTAGCAAATTACTAGCGATAGATGTGGAAGAAATCATATGCTATGAAATAAGATAACAAGCTAGGAAAGGGTGAGATATCTCCGAATACTGACAGGGCTGATCGTTATTGATTGAAAGTCAGTCTTCAGTCAGTCAGTCTTCATTAATAAGGATAGTAGGTTAGTGAACCTGTGTTAATCCTAACAGGTTGGCTTCCAGTGAAGGTCCAGTTTCTCTTTGAAAATATTCACTGATGGGGCTGATACCACTTGATCGGGAAAAGCGTTCCAATCATTGACTACTCGATGAGAAAAACGGAACCCCACCTTGAGTTTATTAGATCGTGGTTTATGAACCTTCTTGCTGTGACCTCGGAGATTATTAATGCTGGAGGGAGCAAAAAGATAAGACATATTAACACCCAAATCATAATTAAAGATACGAAATACCAGTATAAGGTCACCTCGAGTCCTACGATACGACAAGGAGAAAAGGTTTAGGCGTTTTAAACGCTCATCGTAAGGGAGTTTAGAAAGACCCTTCACTAATTTCGTTCCCACACGCTGGACACGCTCAAGTCAGACTCTGAACGAGTTAGTAATTCTCCCTTGAGGACAAAGTAATCAATTTATGATAATGAGCTTGGTCTCTGACGCTCACTATTTAAACTCACGTTTCCACTTTCATGCTGGGTTTGCTATTATACAAAAACGACCTACAACATACTGAGTCACACTTTTACGTTTCGATCTAGTGTCTGGCATCAGGTGAGAAAAAGGACTATAAAAGATATAGTTGTTGGTGTTTCTTAACAATTTACTCTCTTGGTGTACTTCCCTTTTTAATAAACAGCCTTCTTTATTCTAACTTCGACTTCCCTTCCATCATTTGGATCCATAGGACTATGTTACATATTACAACCTATTAGTCTTCATGTTTTCTCTCACTCGAAGGCTCCAACTAGAATTCACTCTGGCAACAACAGCTGGTATGTGTTTTATCCTCCGATTTATCATACCTTCAACTGTTCCATTACAACTTGTTAAGCATTGTTTAGGGTTTATATTCAAGTACCTTTCTGCATCTTTGTTGCACCTTCTTTAGCATTACGCTCTTAGTGAACAGTAATGGAGCTTCCTATGCCTAGAACAAAATTGAGGCAAACTTAAAGTATGCGCTTTTCAAAGTCATGACTCATATCAAGCGCTTTTCGAATGATTTTTATAACAATTATAAACTACTTAGAACGTTATATTGCGTAAATACTTAACATGACCGATATTCGAAAATAGTATTGTTGAGTTTGAACACGTTGTGTAACGTGGACACGATGCAATTTTGAAAAAGAATATAATGCTACATTGAAGCATAGACCTAATCATAAACTCTAGGACATCTGCACGAATGTACTGTCTTTTTTTTTATTAATTTCATGTATTTACCAACCCTACATGGGGAGCATACTGTGAGGAAAATGTGATGTAAATTATAGACCATGCGAGTATAAATAGCGTGTACCTGCTCAGACAGAAATATATAACTATCATTAGGAATCGCAGACACTCTATCAGGGTGAGAAAGTTGGATAGAGTGAAGCGATCAAAAAAGGTCTATTACTGTGCTTCGTCAAAGAGTCTGGGACCTCACGACACCCTTTTCAGGAGGCTAAAGTCGAGAAAACGTGAATTAAAGATCCAATTCTTTCCACATGAAGAACTATCTGCAAGATCGAACATTGTACATGAAAGTCAGCGAGATCAGAACAGGGTGAAATGTTTACTGTTCAGATTCCTGAGGTATTTGTACGAGCTATTGATTCCTTTTTACTTGATTGCCCACCGGTACGAATTCCAAATATAATAGATTCACTTGTGCTCATCTGGTTCTAATTGCATTAAATTGCACCATTTCCAGAATTTTAGTCAAATATTGGGCAGTTTGATATTAATTCAAGTGGGGATGACTTTGAAGAGTACATGAAGAGGTTGAAAATCTGGTTAATGACAAGAAAAAAATTAGAGATGACAGATTCACAGCTTGTTTTCTGACTTTCACCAGCAAAGAAACATAACTTGTTAAAAGATATAGCTTTTCCAGAGAAACCAATTTCATTGTCATATGAATCTTTCAGGGAGCTACTAATGAGTCATGTGCAATGTACTAGCCTTGAATGCAGAGAGATCATGTGATGCGACAAAATGCTAAAGAATTTATATTCGAACGACAGAGAAAGGTCGCGAAGTGCGGTTTTTGAGATCAATCGGAAACTCACGTATGTAATATGTTGACTGCTGGGATAAATACTCAGAATTTAAAAAGAGAATTAATTCAGAAACCAAAAGTTTATTCCAATAAATTGAAATAGCATGCATTAATTACGAGGCAGCAAGTGAGCTTGACTTCCAGTCAGTGAAATTTTCCACAACTTGGCTCAGTCGTCTTGATGAACTGCATTTTCAGGGTTGCTTGAGGTCGCGTTTATTTAATAATGGTTCTTATTCTCGTGGAAAAATGATTTACCAAAGAATCACAAGCAAGTTACAGAGTTGAGCACAAGTTTGGTGAGTGCTTACTCTGCGGTAAATTCCATTTACAAAATTCATGTGTATTTCATCATGCTAAATGCTTTAAATGTGGTCAAACGGGACCCATCCAGGTGGTTTGTAAAACTACTGTTTATGTCGCTGCAAGTAATAATAAACTTTCCAATTCCGATCCTGTTCATTTGAGCGATTTTAATTACTTAGTTTATTTGTTTAAAAACATAAACATCGGTACAAGGAGGCACCAAATATATATGCGCCACACTTTGTCATTTGATTTATGTGAGGGCAGGAATATTCCCTACGTGCCAAAACCGAAGGAAGTGGTTTCCTCAGGGGCCACACCCCAAGTATTTGACCTAAAGATTCAATCCACTAGGTCGTGGAGCAACTTAAGTTGCTGCCCAATTGGGGAGAAGTAATGCCATAGTAGCCGGTGACCAACAGTAGGTTTATATGCCATTTGTTCTCTCAGGATCCTGGGGCGCAAGTGCACCATTCTTTTGGTAATAGGGTTTTCCGACTCACCTAGTTGAGTCCTCCTTGTCCACCGACCCCGTTCGAGCGCCGTACATTCGCTTTCCGTCCTCTTAATTTCGTGAACAACACCCCACCGAGAGAAGGCAGTGGCTCTATACACATGGCATTGTAAGAGTATTTCAAAAAGGAGAGCGGACTCTCCTCACTCTCGACCGCACCAAGGCATTTACACTAAAGATGCCACAGGTATTTGGAGTTTGACAACGCTTTAACCAGTAACACCTATTGTGAATCGTACTCACCTTGTAAAATAAAAAGTCAGAAGCGAAGAGGTTCGAAGATAAATTTAATAGGCTATCAATATATCGAAAATTGACTGATCTAGCGATTGCAGGGGATGTTGAGCACGGCGTTCCCACTCGTGATCTGGTGCGGATAAGTCCATTAAGACTAATTTGGTCAGCATCCTATGTCGAAGACTTACAGAGCTATTGATTTTGGGGATTTACAGCACGATCAAGTGACTTAATTCATATTCAAAAACGACTATATCTGTCCAATGGTGTTTTCCACGATTTTATTTTTGACACTGGTAGCATCAAATCCATTAATTCAGTTAGAAAATGGAAATCCTTGAATCTCGATGCCATAATGAAACATACCAAAGTTTCTATTTACAATATTACAGGTCATAAACGTCCTATTCTTGGGTGTTGTAATGTGCTGACTAGAAACGATAAATCTTCAATTATAAATTATGAATGTCTCAACATTGACTGTGGACCATCTATCCTAGGTCTAGGGAATTTAAGAATGCTCCGGAGATAGCTTTCCTTATTAATCACTGAAAATGGTTCTAATGAAGTGCTTGACAATTTACTAACTATGGAACCAAAGTGCGGAAAAGTGCGCACGACTCCAAACTCCCTTCACTCACATATGCAAGCAAGAAATTCCAAGATCTTGAAAACAAACGTCAACCTCATTACTACTGCAATATTCGAAGACCGGAGGGTAAAGTAGATAAAGTCGTTCAGTGGGGAATTGCCAGATCGTACGCAAAAGAAACGATGATGTAACCGCAAAAATGTTTTCGTTCAAGAACTGGTTTTCCATAATCTATAGGCCTGCTAAAACAGGTCAATGAACATAATTCATATACGAGCCAGTCATAACAACCAAATACGTTATAAGGAATCAGGTGAGTTTGTTCCAATTTTAGTTGTTAATTCTAATACTAATGAGTACATTCTAGATCACATAAAGTCTATACCGAATACACAGCCGGACAGACACATGATGAAGTCAAGGAAAAGTATAGTCGACTACAGATATTTGGATGCCTATTCAAGATGTGGTGTTTGTAGTATCTGTACGACCTAGTGATTCCTTTGTACTTGATTGCCCATAGGCTACGAATTCAAAATACCATAGATTCACTTGTGCTCATCTGGTTCTACTTGCTTCAAATTGCACTATTTCGATTATTCTTAGTTAGTACATTAATTCGAATACTTCTAATTATCATAGGTACACTAAGTGAGATCTTGTGCAGTCAATCATATGGAAAAACTACCCAATCATAAGATGTTTATCATATCATTTTTTTCCGTTAGTTTATCTTCTGAAGTAATGAACTTAGCATCTATTCTTAACCTCGCCAAGTAAATTTTCGCTTTGAATGGATGCCGAGTTGGAATCGATCGACTTAAATGTGTCGGATTTTGTTATATGGTTATATTTCAATTTCTGTAAGAATTTTCGTTAACTAAATAGTCGGGAAGACGTGATTCACTATGCTCATCTTCGTTTCCAGAAGTGAACTTGATGTGATCTGAGAATGTGTCTATAAGTTAGAAATTTCTGGTGAGAATCTACATATCTGAATCTGATCTAATGATACTGGTATAATTAGGCGGTTTTATACGAGATATAAATAGATTAACCACAAACGGAGATAGTAGATCTCATGCTCTTTCCATTTGTTTCATCATGAAAATTCCCTTTGATGGTGTAATGCGTTGAACTCAAGCATAATCTGATTTCTTTTGTGATTAAACTAGTGCTTAGTGAACATCTGATATTATTTGCAGTTTGCGGAACACACACTAATAAATCAATTTATGGTAAAAAAAAAATCACTTAACACTCTGTCCAATTACCATTTGAATATGAGAAACCCCCCATTAAATTCAATATATTTCAACTGTCTAATAAATAATGAGTCATCATTTATAAGTAAGTAGATTATTTGGTGCAGAGAAGCAAAGAAGAAGAAATCGATTAAAACTGATTATATTTTACACATTGAAGTATTCACTAATGTACTAATTTATTGTTTTGAATGAAAATAAACATTTTGAAAGTGACTTAACAAAATCATCAATGCTTAACTTAGTTGGTAATGACATAATGAATATAAAAACGAAACAACAAACAAATAATTGAGTAGATGCATAATTTTTAAAGGAATAAAGCTGGATTATATTTAAAAGCCATCATCTGTTTCAATTGCCCCACGCTCTAATTCACATGGCCTATGAAATTCTTGACCGCGTTCATGAAACCATAAATTCATTACCCATTTCGAACCAGCTAAAACTGGGCAAGCAGCGTGTCTAGTTCGTAGGTCACCTTCTCCACTTGGCAAAAGGTTAAACCAGAAACCAGCAGCTCCTTTTTTAGGGACTACACGTGTACCGATACGGTTAAATACAGTGGCTCCTCCTGCTTGTACATCAGATAACTGGAAACATTAAAAAAACTGACGTTTAAATCATTAACATTTCAGAAATTCATGTTGTTGAGTATGTAACATAAGCCTTGACCAATTATTTAAAAATCGTGAAATTTTTAAATGAAAAAGAAAGAAACTAGAAAGAATGTACACGTAATTCTAAACTTCGAAAAATTGTTCTTCATCCTAGTGACAGTTAGATCTCAGAATGAGTTCTTATAAAGCTTTTTTTTTGTTTTGGCTGAACAGACACTTCTATATCTTAACAGACATGATTATCACTGAAAATTCACATAGAAGTAAATAATAACTAAAGAGTAGAAATCACCTTCACTTACTCAGTGGGAGACATTGATAAGTTTGATATGATTGTATGTTACACCAAAGTATGGATGGACTATGGAAGATATCGACACACAAAGGCAATAAGTGAACCAAGAGACACTGATAAAAGAGATAATGATGAAGTGGAATAAGTTATGATTAAAGAATGTTGGCTTAAGTAAATGGGATGCTATCAGGTTGCACACAGCCATTTAGTGCTTCAAAACTGTGAAATTGTGTAGTTGTTTATGGATTTCAATTTATCCATCCCAAACAGACATTAAGAAACGTACATTTGCAACGAAATAGTTTTTTTTGAAACTCCGTACACACTTTGCATACTAAAATGCATAAGTGTTAACTTTAAGGTTAGAGCGATGAATTACATAACTTTCGAATAATAGGTAGAAGTTTCGACATATGCTTCACCTACTTTAGGTTGAACAGACGGATATTATGATTAACCGTTACACAAATGATTTGAACCTGTGTTAACGGATAGGTCACAAAAATGAGCAACTGAGAGATAAACGAAATTGACTTAGATTAACATTTAGTGAAATCAGTGCCAAGTACCAAGTACTGCTTGTGTCACATGAAGTTTGAAAACACAGGCATTATCTCGAAATCTATAGTTTATAAAGAAACGATCAGTATATTCTAGTATAACATATTGTTGAAATGTACATATTGTATAATTATCAATTTCATAAGACTATCTATGTCCTATAACCTTGTTGGACAACTACTGTTGATCACAGTACTGTGGTGACGACAAGTTGGTATTTTGTCACAAGCTAACAATCGAAAGTCATGTCCATAAATAACATTATGGGGCCAGTTTCTACAGCGAACTCTATTGACGACATGTTGATTTTTTCTCCATGGGAAATCATATATTGAAGTCGACATGATTTCCAGATACACCAAAGCGAAAGTCTTTCACTGCATCTTTTATCTACATAACCTAAATCTTACACTCAGAAATTTGTTCTTAGCGTGAACTAAGCGCAGTCTGCGATAAATAAGAAAGATTCTCATTTTTACACAATAAGATTACAGAACCTAAAAAGTCATAACGTGTTATAATTCAGTGATCCACAGGTCCTCTAAATAATCTTAGTATGATGATCTTATTGTAGTGGTGTACATCTTTGTAAATCTTACATCACTCAATGGACTAGAATGTAAATATTCTTTTACAGTAGATAAGGAGTATTTATATGTTACTGATTATTTTTTTTTTAAATCAGTAATTTATTAAGGTATAAAACCAAGCTTTGAATTAGAAGTAATTATGGTTTTGACAGATAGAAACTAAACAAAGATATTAACGGTTACAATAATTACGAATTTCCAAAGTATCCAGGGTAAATTGCTTGGAATATGAAAATGAAGATAGAGTTAAGTGAAAGAATTAGACCTGATTTTAATGAGTTTAGCCTAAAAAACTATTCACACAGTATATTCAAATAAATAGACACTGAAGAACTTCTATGAATACTGCTAGTCCCAAACATGGGAATCCAATTTAATTGAAACATATTTCTATCGGTCAATTTGTCTTGTGAAACACTACTTACGTATCTTGTTGTGTTTACGCGAGACATAAAAGCTCTTTCACAAAGTCTTACCTTCTGTTTCCTTACTCGGGTGTAGTAATGATTGTTTATTTATTAGCCATCATTCTATCTAGTTGCATTGGATCTAGTATTGTGTCAGAAGTATTGCCTATTGTCGATATTCAGACCTTAGCCTTTCCTAATTCCAGTGCTCAAAAATAATAATATTTAACGACCGATCCCCATCTTGCATAAAACTTACCTGATTCTTGTAGTCTTTCTATTCATTTAAAGAATCTAAGATCATAGGAGGTACATTAGTCATATCAGTAGCTTAGTTGTGCTACAGAATGTGTCAGTTCAATGTGGCTATACGTGACGCTCACATTAGATATTGTTCTTCTCATCCTTGTCTTAGGAATGAAGATAGTTAAACTCGGCCTAACAGAATCCATTAATTTTCCCCCACCCATCTACGTTCCTGGTACTATATTGAAAACATGCAGTAAAATTGACAAAAATCGAAAAGATTCATTTAACGCAAAACCTAAGAGCAGTAAAATTCTCAATTTTTGTTTTCATTATTATTATTATTATTATTATTATTATTTCTCAAGTCTTTCTTGTATAACTTCTTTTTTATGTAGCTAACGTGTATAACGGTTTCAGTCTACACACTAACTCCAGTTTTTCAATTGAATAAACTGTCCTGACCTCCATACTCAAATTAACTCTGAATAATTGAAAGCCAGTTAAAATATAAAAAACCGAAATTATTGCAGGAGTTTAATCAAAAACTATAATCCTGACTATTCAATTCTGACTGAAAGTACAAATGTCAAGTTACCTGTGGAACTAACTAATAAATAATAACACTTACATAAAAAATAATTGTAGCTATTCTGTTCCCATTTTTCACTTCGAATGCATCCTTTTCTCTTTTCTGTAAAAAAAATTAGCAAATTATTATACATACTATGCATATACTTGGATTAAATGAACTTCTAATAGTTTTCGTCAAGATATAATAGATCGTATTCATTTTTATCATCAATAAACAAAGAGAATATTCTTCTAGTTTAATAAGTTCCTTTATATATTTCTTGTAAAAGGGTAAAAGGATTATGATGATTGTAGAATACTTTAGAATGAAATCCTAGATATCTTTAACTTCTAGTCCATTTATATTATTAACTTAACAAAGACCAAACTTTTTTTTAATTTTTTGTAATATGTTGCTTTACTTCTGAAGATTCTTTTCCTTTTTACAAAGAGATGATATTTTTAAATTATGTAACTGGTCAGTTAATAGTCAATGAATTTATTCTTGTGAATTTGAAAGATGGCTTTGATACAAAAAAAAAAATTGGAATTCACTATGTATTTAATACATTGGATTCTGATCGAAATCTATTGATTATGAAAATGTTAGAATTTAGGGATGGTAGTGAATTCCATTTGTTATTATATGTTGGAACATGTTAATAAGGAAATCATGACAACTACTCCATTTCTGTGAGAAAACAAGCTCTGTACGTGTGTGTGGGGGGGGGTAAGTGGCAATCACACACTCCATTACGGTAAGTAAAAGAACAATATTAAAAAGTCAATCAATGGAGAGACCAAAATTAACTACTGAATTCAATAGAAACGATAATAAAAGTCCCAAAGAATGAAGAGTCACACAACATGACGAAGCAGGTATCTGAAACTACTTACTTCTTAATGGTTTTTCTACCTGATATAACGCCAGTATTACGAAGTTCATAATTTAGAACTTGATTGCATTTGTCAAGAATGACTCAGTACATTTGATTCAATATAAGTGACGAGGCAGACAAACAGAACGTCATACAGCAAGACTCAACTATATTATAAACCTCCTGTGTATGTTTCAGGTATACAGTTTAGCTAATAACATTGAAGATGCCACAGGCATTCAGAGTTTGACAACGCTTTAACCAGTAACACCTAATATGAATCGTACCCACCAAGTGAAATCAAAAGACAGAAGCGAAGAGATCGAAGATATATTTGATAGGCTATCAATATATCGAGGAACGTCTGATCTAATCTGACTAGCGATTGTGACAGATGTTGAGCACGGCGTTCCCACACGTGATCTGGTGTGGATGCATGACCGAGCGTCTTCAGCTAGGTGAGTCCATTAAAACTAATGTGGTCGTGGTCCAATGTCGAAAACTTCTAGAGCTATTTATTTTGCAGATTTATTTACCGCTACAACATTAGGTATACGACTTTTTGACCTACAGAAATATAAACCAACCTATAAGTCTATTAGGTTCACGTATAGACTTGTAATTAGAATCATTACTTGTTCAGTTTATTATTATGACTACCATCATAAATTATTTACACTAAAAGTCAATTTACAATTGGAATAGATGACTAAATCTAGTAAATTCGTAAACAGTAAGGATTGCTTAGAGATTGAGACCACGATTACTATGGTAACTAGAAGCAAATTGTTGACCTTGACACTCAATTTTGATGCGAAACCCGTCAACGTTACGGAAATTTAACAGGGGTAGCTAAAATTCCATCGCTGGAACTGGAAACTTAGAAAGCTGATGTCTAGAGTCGGCACAAAATTGAAAATTTTTAGGAACTTACTCGCCCAAAATCAAAATGTGGAGCATAATGTCCACCCAACCCATAATTACCGACTTGTAGGTCTTCAGCAGTCTCAAGGGACAAACCTGTAACAGCTCGTATACGCTGACTTATTTGGTCAGTAATTTCAGTCATAGAATGCGGAAGCCAAGCGCTAAATGAAAATGGACCACATGTCAGTGAATTTGGTGATAAAAAAATATTGTTCAAATGATAACAAGATTGTTGACAAAATGAGTATTGTAACAATTTGTGTTACATACATAAAGATAACCTTGCTATGATGATCAACTAATAAAATAAGTCTAAAGTGATTCACTATCTCATGTTTCACACCCAGAACATACGGACGTCTAGATCGGAAACCCTCTAAGAGTTCTTAGAAAACCTAGTTCTCCAAATAATCGAACTGGTGTAATTTTCTATGTGATTTTCAAAACAATATATCGTGCATAAGCGCAATAGATCCAAATAAGTCGCTATGATGTTAACCTTGTATTATACTCTGAGACTAATCTAGATATATTAACAGCGTGTTTTGTCGGCCTCATAATTATCTATAATTCATTTTGATAAAAAAAATATGTTAACCATACGGCAGAAAAAAATACCTGTATTCAAAAGACAAGTAAACTTGCTAATACTTTACTAGAGTACGAATGTAACGTCTCTCGGTTAAACCGACAACTGTTTATGGACCAGAAGAGTTCAACAAAACTACCGTCTTTTACCTACACACTTCAACAGTGTGATAAGTTCAGTTCTTAATAAATGATAAAGAAATAGATATTTGATTTAGCCGAATAGTCATAATCATAGATCAACCACTTCGTAAATAAATAAGTCACAGTCCATATGTCATGGTGTGTATATTTAAACGATGTCAGGGTCCTAAATATGAAAATTATAAGTCGAAAAAAAATAACATAACGGTATCGTAAATCATGTTTAATTTCAAGTTGATCACGGGGCTTTGAAGAGAAATCAAGCTGACAATGTAAGTTGGTAGTGAAAGTATTTCAAATCTGTTGGTATCATGAGCAAACTTTAACAAAAAATTATGGGCTTTGAATTCCGGCCACTTAATTTTCGTTTCCATGGAGAAAAAAAAATGAAAAACGATAAATATTGATTGATGTTATCAACAATAAAACAATGATACAATGTCTGTACGATTATTCAATAATTTCCCTCACTAGTACAAAAACCATTTGATTAGCATGATAAAGGTGGTAAAACAGAATCTGTCTTAGAAATATATTTAGATATGCAAAGTAGAATGATGAGTAAATTTCTTTAATTATCATCTCGGATTTATTTTTAATCTATGGAGAATGATTCACTCTTAAGATAAATATGTGAAGTGTATGAATTGCCTCTACTGATTATTAGAATAGTTATGTACGGTAAAATAAGAAATGAAAACCCACATCTAGTTAAAATGCTGAAATATTTAAAAGATTTGTATGGGCTAAAAATAAGTTACCTTTTACTGGTTCTATAAAAAGCTATCTCTAAGTTGCCAGTTACCGGATTTTTAACTGTCGCCCTACGAAGCTGAAAAAAATTTAGAGCAAAAGAAAATGATATCAGTAACATAATAAAAGAAATGTGTAAAATGTGGTATAATCGTCGGGTAAGACATTTCAGAAAATTCCTTAGTTATAAAATATGACCAGAAATCGAATACAACTTCATAATGTATATGATGTATGTTGACGAAAAGCTTATCGAGTAATATCGATATTTCACTTAAATATAGTGTTGATCCGTCACAGAGTCATTCAGTCTAAGATTTAAACACAAAAAGCGGCGGCTACTATACGGATACAGTATTTGGAGAGTGGAACCTTAATTAACACAAGAGAGACATTCGAATAATGATTTACTCTTATAAAATATGTTCAAGTTATAGCTTACAGTAATGGTCATCTCGGATCATAGTTACAGAAACTTCAAGAATTATTCTGTTATAACTTGTGTCCGGTGTGCCTTGTTAATGTATAACATAACGATACCGCCAATTAGAGAGCAGTGACTTATCGATCGGATCAATGACGCGTAAACCTGTATGAGCAGTCTAGAGTTCTTATTGGTCCCGCTTCCTATCTAGCCCAGCCAGTTAAGTCCAAAACACCAATCCGAGCCTCCAAGATATGAATCCCAAAAGTTACCATTCATTATGCTTATCGGGACATAGTATATTCGTAAGCAGATAAGTAGAAAAATGTGAATAAAACTGAGATTTTCCCTAAGCAGAAAAATAAGACCAGTACAACAATATTACACCAAGTTCAATGGAGCCCCTAAAAGTGTAGCCTCTATTGACATCAGTTTTCATAGTTGAGACTGAGTGAAAACAGGGGAAATATCGAAAAAGTAGAAACTTATGTTCAGTCGACAGAAAAAATATCCATAGTTTCTCTGGAAAGCTATCAGTGACCTAGGTAATCTAGAAATATTAATGCAACGTTGAAACATAAGTCTGTTGTAGTTATACTACAATAAAACAAAGTGATAACTCATTCTTCTGCAGTGTAAAATAATCTGTTTCAAATAATTTATAGAATACTGAGTTAAAACGTTTAAACACTTATTAACCAAAAACATTCGACCCAATGTTCACGACACAGTAATCTATTATTGCAATTTTCATTTACGTAGTTATAAGTTTCATACATACTCTAAAAAATAGTTTTAGACTTCTAATAACAAGTGTTTTAATATACTGAACGAACCATTTTTCAGCTATTAATTTGGATCAACTGTACTTACATTCTAATTTCTAGTGTAAAAAAGCTAAGAATATAATTATGAAATAGAACTAACTCTTGGTGTGGCCAGTTCTTTGATTTTTTCAATCTCCGATGGAAAAATTAAATCGTACCACATTACAATACGTGGATCAGGGTTTAAAGTTTCCTCCTTAATTGGACCAATTCTAAAAAACGCATGAGGAGTATAATATTGACATGTTAGGTGACGTGACGGGACCGTAGGGAAGGGATTTTCATTACGACATAATGATTCATATAGCTCAGTTTCTTGATCGTGCTTTGATGTAGCTGGAATATTAAAAAAAAAAAAGTTAACTCAAAGCGAAAACGGTGTGGTCATTATTCACTAAGACAAATCATATCTTATTGGCATAGATTGAAGTCATCAGGTTAGTGATAGCAAAAAACCATCCATAAACTTTACCCTTATGGTTTTTAATTGAACTAGTATCATAACGTAAATTTTTTAATGCTCGCTGAGCTTTCTTATGGGTATCGGAAACAATCCTTAAAATAATCGAGTATGTCCTAGTGGCGTACTAGTGTCATTTAAATGAAGTTAAACAACATTCAACAATAATTCAACACAATGTTACACAGTTCAAAATTGATAATTATATCATACGTTTATGTAGATGGCGGTTGAGAAAGAAATTGATACAATTATAAGGTATAGTTTTAGTATTTGTGATAACAGATTTGCATAAAAAGATACTAACCACTACATGGGTTTTCTAGATTAATTAGTTATGTGAACTAAACATAACTAATATTACAGCCTAAAAGTACACAGATCTATTAGCTTACAAAACGAAAATTCTTCCCTTTTTATTCGAAATGGAAGCACTGACAAATCTACACAATATCACAATGAAATTTCCTGGTATCTGTATTGCACCTTCAATGTTGATAAACGAATTAGGGTTTATGATTAAACAACTATTACTTAATTTGAGAAATATTCTTTATGGGATTTTCATTTTCTACCAGTTTAAATGCTGTTAAGCGTTAATACATTTGGGCAGATAGACTAATAGTGCCACTGGACTGGATGTGATCCCTGATTAAAGTGTACATAAGATCGTAACACTAAAGATAACTTTTTGAGAGAAAACAAAATGATAAATAAGTGGAGTAATTAGACTACGTATTTAAAATTTTATATATATTCAGAACTGAATAGAATCATGCGAAAGAGTTACATTGAGAACGAGGATTTGGACCAATTCTTCCTTCACCTCTGTCTATTTGTTCTACATAGTAGGCTTCATTATTGATAGCTCTTGTATTTGTCGGTTCTAAAAAGAGGAATGCATATAATTATTCATCACAATTATTAGGAAAGAAAAAGATTTCTTTAAATATCAAATCAGTAATCCCCAGGGACATAAGCAACTAGCGAACTGAATAATAACTAGCAAAACACTAGTTATCCGGAAAGTAAAATACGCTATAATTAACTTACGCCTTCTAGCAGTCGTGGAGGAGCATAAACCACCCATCAGCATTCTCCATCCAACTCTGTTCTGAAGGATCCTTTCCATTTGTTATTCATCCTTTTCATATCTACTTCCAAGTACAGACACAGTTCGCTCTTTGGTCTTCCTCTCTTTTCCGCTTTCCTTTAGGATACCAAGTTAACGCTTGCCTCGTGATGCAGTTCGCTGATTTCCGTAATGTATGTCCTATCCACCTCCAACATATTCTCCTAATTTCTTCTTCAGTTGGAAGCTGATTTGTTCGCTCCCACAGTAGGTTATTGCTGATGGTATCCGACCAACGAACATTGAATATCTTGAGTAGACAATTGTTTATAAATACTTGTACCTTCTGATGATGATTGTAGTAGTTCTCCAAGCTTCATCTCCGTACAGTAGAACTGTCTTGCCGTTCGTATTGAAGATTCTGACTTTGATATTGGTTGAAAGTTGTTTAGAGTTTCATATGCTCCTTAATTGTAGGCTTGCGGTCCTTTCTTTGTCATTCCTTGCCTTTACATCAGCATCAGATCCTCCTTGTTCATCGATGATACTTCTCAGGTACATGAAGTACTCCACATCTTCCAGAGTTTCGTCATCAAGTGTCATTGGGTTGGTGTTCTCCGTGTTGTATTTGAGGATGTTGCTTTTCCCTTTGTGTATGTTGAGACATACTACTGAAGAGGTAGCTATTACACTGGCTGTCTTGACCTGTATTTGCTGGTGTATGGGATATAAGGGCTAGATTATCTGCCAAGTCCAAATAGTCCAGTTGCATCCAAGCTGCCCATTGTATTCCATGCTTTCCATCACATGTTAAGGTCTTCATAATCCGATCAGTCACTAGACGGAAGAGTAGGAGAAAGAGCAAGCAATCTTGTTTGACTTCTATCCCTACTTGAAATTCAACTGTCAGTTACGAGTTCCATCAAGTTGATTGTCCAACAATGATCTATAGTGTCGCGATTTAGTCTGTGCACGACTGATCCTTACGGAATTCAACCTTTTAATCTCAAAGCTTGGAGTCTACTGAATTTTTCATGCCAGTTAATTCGTCGTGTCATATAGTTGTTTCATATTTCTTTCTGTTGCAGCTTTTTCCGTTGTCGTTGCTAGGTCTTCCACGTATTTCTGCTCGTCAGCTCTAACGCCTCCCTTCACTTGCTTGTTTGCTTCTGTGTATTTAGCTTGTGCCTTGACGTTCTCTGCTCTCGTCCGACTGCTTTAAATTGCTGTTTTCGTGCTCTTCCTCTGTTGAATCTTGTGCACGGTTTCTATAGAGATCCATTCTTAATGATGGTGTTTCTGACAACAAATAACCTCTTGACAAGTTGAAGTTAGGGCCTCTTTAATCCACCTCCAGTTGTCCTCCATAGTGGTTTTCTCTTCTTTTAGTAGATTCTGTAAGCCTTGGGACATGTTGTTGACACCTATCTTGAATTCGTCAGTATCTTGAATGAAGGCTGTATTGAGCCTTTGTAATGCTGTTTCTCCAGTTGTTCAGTGCTTGTTCAGCATCAGTTTCATCATGGCAACCATTAGCTGGTGATCTGAAGCTAGATCGGCTCCTTTCCTCATTCTCACGTCTTCCACTGTATTTCTGAACGTCTTAGTGATCCAAATGTGATCGGTATGGTTCTCCTTGACATGATCTGGTGAGACCCATATAGCTTTGTGTACGCGTTTGTGTGTAAAGTGATGTCACCCATAACCATTTTGTCGAATGCATATTGATCTGCAAATTTGTCACCATTCTCGTCCCTTTCTCCCTGTCAGTCCATGTCGTCACATGATATCTTCATACCCGATACTGTCAATTCCAACCATGACGTTTAGGTCTCCCATCATGATGACCAGGTTCTTTCCTGGACACTTCGCTACGATCAACTGCAGCCCCTCATAAAACTGGTTTTTGTCGTCTTCGTTTCTATAACTAGTGAATGCATATCACTGGACAACTTTCGTTGTAAGCCACTCCTTTGTTTCCAAGGATACTTTTGTGATTTTAGATACATGAGATTCCCATCCTATAAGTGCTTTTCGTGCTTCTTTGTACAGCATCAGTATAAATCCTTGCGTGTCTGAAGCATTTCCTCCTTCATAACCAGGGTATACCAGCATGTCTCCCGAAGTTGACCTTTTCTGTCCAACTTGGGTCCGATGGGTTCCACTTATTCCGAGCACCACCAAGTTGTATCTCTTCATCTACGTAACTATTCATTCAGTCCTCACGGTCTCCCACATTATTTGGACATTCCATGTACCTATATTGACTGTTGTTCTAGTTATCAAAAGGGGGATCAGTCTCGTGACTTCCCAAGAATTTCAGCTTTCACTACGAGGCGTCATAATTCTTCTGAAAGAAGATCTTTTAACTATTAGGACAGAGTTTAAATGGTTTAAATGATATTCTCTGGATTTCTACTTCAGTATATCATTTCAATTGAATGTTTACGAACAGTTTTGGCTTCAAATTTCTTCCGATGAGCACAGGTGGAGAGCTGTCATTGTTGTCTGTTGCAGTTTATTCAGTTGTATATCAAATCTATCTCGGTACATTTTTGTCTGACACTTGCGGATAAAGTGAAACAAGTTTTTCTTTCGACTGTTTGGTTTTCTATATTCCAAGCTTTGTAGCGACCTATCATGAAGAAGAAATACGATAGAAAGTGATCATCGTCTAATTCGTATTCGCATAGCCCACCCAGGGATACTATGTGAGCTTGTAATTTGCCGTAATCACCTATGGTGTACATTATAAATTGACAAATTGCTTACCTGGAAGGTTCGCGTGTGAGAACACTTTATACTGCATATTACAGACATCTTGCTCAGTCAGTCGTTTACCATAAGATTGGTAAGCAAAATTCTTTACGTGGAATGCTGCGGTACCTGATATCAGAAGCGGTTTCACAGTTTCAAGCTCCCCATCTGTTAACCTACGCACCCATGAATTACCTTCGTACCTAAGGGAACTGTACTCGTGATGGTAAACGACTGACTGAGCAAGATGTCTGTAATATGCAGTATAAAGTGTTCTCACACGCGAACCTTCCAGGTAAGCAATTTGTCAATTTATAATGTACACCATAGGTGATTACGGCAAATTACAAGCTCACATAGTATCCTTGGGTGGGCTATGCGAATACGAATTAGACGATGATAACTGTCTATCGTATTTCTTCTTCATGACTGCAGAGCAATTGAATTGGGCCGGTCACTTTTGTAACGTTATTAGTTTTGATGGGACGTACGAAACGAATAACGAGAACGTCCATTTATATCAAGTAGTTGCTCTGGATATGCATTTTAAGGCAATACCCATCTGCGTTGCCTTTTTAAGTCATGAAACGTCAACATTAATTTCTACGTTCCTGCGTTTTTTCCAACAGGTGTACCAACAATCGCATTTTAGCTTTAAAAATTTATCATAAATTATCCAAAAATTAAAAAGTAATTTAGCAAACAATCGTTTTCAAATACTTCCTCATCATACTGTACAGTTTTAAGTCTATAATTTTAATATTTTATAAAGGCCAAAAATAAGGCACGGCATTTATGAATTTGATAATGTAATGGGTTAACAATGCTGAACATTTGCATCTGCTTATAAATTGTAATATTTGCAAATTACTAAGGGCATTATTCAATATAGGTCAGCATGATTTGCAGTTAAGTGTTCAGTCACATTAGGTGTAACAGGATTGTGGGAATATTGAAAACGCAACAAATGTTCTGTCAAAAAAGGCACAATTTGCGAATTTCATCGTGTCAATGGACGTAATAATAATAATAATACAAATATTAATAATAGTATTCATAGTATTGATAATACTACTACTAATAATAATATTAATAATAACGGCAACAGGGACAATACATTATAATAACATTTCACATGTTCATTGATGCAATAGACCTTATTCATATTTATACATTTAATGTCGATAAATATTTGTTGAGTCAGACGACCTAGGCTTGTTCATTTACACTTTATTAAACTGACATTTCAAATGCTTGTCAAAAATGGTTAAATTCATTATAATGTATAGATATTTAAGCTTTCTTATTACGCTTATTCATAAATGACTGATTAAACACACCAGCTTTTATTACGACCGACAAAACAATAAACCGTTTAAATGGATTTTAAAATTGACCGCATTGATTTCTAACGTTTTCTATTTCTCACTAAGATTGCCCATTTACAAATTCAACGTTTACTAAATATTAAGTACCTATTTTGGAAACATTCTTACCACTTCTGTCATAATTTGTTCATTAATTGGGTATTCAACATTAGACTACCAACATAATTCATCAATCACTCTTATCAAATATTCAAACCGCTTTTCAGTTCCTCTTTTTCCCTAAACTCTCTGTTAACGTTATACATATCAGTATTAGTGGCAACATAACTAACAACTTCAATTGAAGGTTGACATTAAATCACTTGATCGGATATCAAACATTTATCTCAATACACATTCACCAACACTACGATTTCAGTTGGTGTTTTCTTCTTGAAAAGTATAAATTGTTTTTAAGACTACCATTACACAAAAAACCATTACAAATAAAACAATATCAAGTGAATTAAACCTCACCCCATTGCACAAGCAAGTGGCTATCAGGACTCAGTGGATAACGCGATGGCGTTTGAAGCGGACGGTACTGGGTTCGAGTCCCGGAGTGAACATCAACTCTGAGATGCAGGTACATCCAGCTGACGAGTCCCAAATAGCACGAAATGCACGTCAAACTGCATTCCACTGCTAGCCACTATCCATCTTTGCTTATAATGCTTGTAAATTAAGGCAATATAAAGGCATACGCACAGTATGCACATATGCCAATAAGAGACTGAACAATTTCAGTCCTAAACATCAATGGGAAGATTCAAATAAAACAATATCAAGTGTATTAATTATTCATTATTATTAAATTCCAAATGTAAAAATGCAATTTCTGATATCCAATCAAAGCATTTGATGCTATTTCGATTTCAACTAATCAGATTGCAAAGGTAAACAGTTTACGACCAATTACAAAATTATTAAAGGTGACAAAAATTTTGTTAATTTTCACTTGAGTACACACTTGCAAAACAAGTACACCATTCAAAGATACCTAAATTTTTTATTCACACCCTACCATTTTTAAAAAGGGGTGGCAGGGCAATGAATGTCGATCAGAAAAAATGAGTTGAAATCAGAAGCTGGTCGAATATCGTCAAGGCAACGAAAACAAACGAAATTTTTTCAAATTGACCCAAAAGTGAAGTCATACGATGAAACTTCGCGAGGGTGGTGATGTGTGGGCGAGAATGATAATAATTGGTTGTCTGCTTAGTCAGACACATAGACAGGTGTCAGATGAGTCATATATTCCTTTATTCTTATTAGCATAGGACACTCACTTATTAATGATTGTTCATTGTTGTTATTTTTGAACAGTAATCATGATTCCATTATGAATATAGTATTTGTCATAACAGTGCTATCAATTCAACTGAAACGCTAAACTGAGTACCATGACTACACACTAAACAGGAAAACATATCTGCATATTTATTCTGTCTTGTATGTTACTTGAAGTAAATTTTAAGTGAATAAGTCAATCTAGACTTACCCTCTTCGATTAGTAAACGTGTCACGTTCAGTGCTTCAGCATATCTTCCTTGCTAAAAATGGCAGTAAAAGCAAGTGAATCATTTAACAACCGGGTGTTACTACTAATGAATTCAAAGAATTAAAGTAAATAGGAATTAGCTTGAAAACGTCTTTTAGTAGAAATTTACTACTGAAAGTTACTTTAAGTAGAGAAATATCTGGAATTATTTGGATAGAAATACATATGGAGATTACCACCTATTACAAATGGAAGCCTTATAACAACAATGAAGGTAATCAATTTAAAGACGTTCATGTAATTGTGTTTTTATTTTAGGGCACCAAACAATAAATGTAGTGGGAGAGGACCGAGCTCCATACGTATAAGAAATTAGTGACCACATGTAGGATGAAACGGCCGTCCAGTGCTTCCAGGTTTTCAATGGTGGTCTAGCTTACATAGACCCATGAATTCAACTATTAAAATTACTACCACCTACACAGACTCCATTCCGAATAATAAAAAAAGTTTTACACACATAACAGTGAAAATCTTTTTTGTTAAACGATTAAGCTTCGACAACATGGAAATTACGAAAATCGTTACAAGAAAATAAAACATCCATCAATACATCGGTTATTATCAGTGGCTCTGAACTAGCGATTCGATTATATTCAGAAATATCTTGAACACAAAAAAATTCATTGTTAAACAATTTAAAACAGTTAAACTATCTTACAAAGGTACTCGACATTCCTCACCTTAAAATGACTAGTAATTATTAATGAATTATTACTAATCAAACAGAAATTGTAATATTCTGATGGAGTTTTGTTCTCTGAGCCGGTACGATCCAGCTCAGAGAACAAAACTCCATCAAAATCATCCACCTGAACTACAAATCTTCTCCACCATCTCAATTGTAATATTCAAATGAACAGAAACTGAAAAATGACGAAATTGTGAATATGAATGAAAACGATTTAGAATCATAACACGATCCCATATCAGAATTCCTATTTATTCTTGGTTCAAACATTTACTTGATGAAAACGATATCAACTTTCATGATATTCCTCTAGATTGTAAGACAAGGTAGGTTGATGTGTGTCCTATCATATGAATTTAAAAATCTAACACTGTTAAATTTCATGCATGAATATTTCCTTAGTCTTCAGATATCAAACGTAAAATGGAAACAAATTAGGTTACACAAATTCAAATAAATAATTATTCAAAATACTTGGACTGTCCAGAATGAGATTTTGTAAGTTGACTCAATTGTTTAGCACTTTAGTAAGAGGTGCTAATCATTTTCCAATAACTAGGTGAGTAAAAACAATCAGCCTAAAACTCAAGTTGCGTAGTGTGATCGTTAAGTAAAATAGTAGAAATACCTTAGAAGTCGAATGATTAAAAGCAAGTTTTTGGTGTAAAACTTAAACAGGTTAAATGAAGAACTTTCACTTACTCGTCCAAGAGAATAGGCAAGATAATCTAAAATTTGTCCAACTGTCGGTTCAGTTTCTCCATTTTCTTCAGTTTCGTCACTTGCAATGGTAGTTCCTTGCGCATCAACCTCTTTTTTTTGTTCTAACTCATCAAATAACCGATCATAGGCTACACGAAACCATTCTTCTGATTGTTCAAAATCGCCCTGTGAATAGGCATGTCTACCTACTTCCAAGCATTGAGCAGCTGAAATATTGAGAAAAAAGTCACTGAAGAATTCAATTTTTGCACTCAACAGGAGCCCCATATTAACCACGGTTAAATTAAATAATATTGAGTAAATTAAATCATAATTTATAGTCATGACGCTACTACTTGACACTACATCTATGCGGTTCGAAGCATTATGTGTCTGTCCGTTTCATGGTACATACCATCATGTAATGAAATCATACATAACAATTACATGAAGCAAATAACAAAACTAGGAAACAAGAGGTAACGTAATGGTAAATCATAAATACTCCGATATTGTAAATAATTTGTTTAACTGAATCTTTCATAGTAGTGATCCGGATATCAGTGAACGGTAATAACCGACACTTGTCCAGTTTTTGGCAAATCGATTTACTTTACAGATCTGTTCCTGACTTCTGATTAACAATTTAAAAAATAACACTGTAAATTCAAGATGTTTACGTAAGACCTCTGAAAATCTCTTCAGTATTTTCTTTTGCCTAACCCTATTGACATTCTCAATAATGTACTTGTAAGTGATTAATTTCTATGATCCTAAAAGAGATGATGATTTTGACAACGTTATTAAAATATCTGTTAAAGCAAGTTTTTGTCGGAATATCTCTATCTTAAGCACAAAAAAATATTTACGAAGTTTTCGGGTAAGACTTTTAGTTAACTAGGTGTATGCACGTAACTAACTAATCACAATATCAGATATCACAGGTGTACTCTAATTTAATTACAATGTTAATTATACTAATAGTGTATGTAAGGTGACTATTAAGTATAAACATGGAGTGATTATACCCTTAAGTCAAGAATTCATACATTCAGTGGAAATCGCGCTCCTACCACTTTGTGTAAATCATTACAGATAACAGTAAATGTAATTCAGTATACAAACTTCCATTAATATTTTGCGCAATGCTCACTGGTGTTAGGGATAATTGGAAGAAAGTTAGGGGCGGCTAAACCAAAACGTGACATCATTGCTTGAAGTCACTAACTTCTGGTCTGAGCCATGTTGGTAGATGCAGACTACCTGGTTAGGGTCCGCGTGACTATCGTAACCAATGGTTGGAGACTCTTGGTGACATGGCTCAGAATCGATCACAATGGCGTCGGTGTATTCACTCTCTGTCTTCCTTTAAACTAAGAGATTAAAATCACTTTATATCTTTCTTTCTAGGAACTAATTCTATCTTCCTGTACTATCTCCTTATACACACTCTTTCTTCTATATATTACGACCACTGAATTAACTACTTCTATGAATCCGGTGTTCATCTTGTTGTGCTAATGCGGTATGGCAACTTGGACCGATGCATATATGTGCCTGGTCCTACGTTGTAGCTGACTGACTGACTGATCTAGGAAAAAAAATACATAGACAATACTTAATAATACTTAGTAATACTTAGCAATACTTAGTCACATTAAATAGAGTTCAAATTAAGAAAAATGTTTATTAAATTAGTGTTAAACAGTGTTTAAAGTTCCAATCCATTGTCATATTTAAATGACAGTCAATTGGTTATAATATAGAACTATCACTTTAAAGCACTTTCAATACAAGTCAAAAAGTTGATGATAAACATTTAAAAGAATTTGATTATGAGAAAACTTTAGGAAAATTTTTAAACAATCATGTTGTCACATACAGAAGCTGTCAGTAATTCTGTGCTCTATAACTTTTAATAGATTCAACATTACAATATTGATTTAAGACAGAAATCATTTACAAATTCACTCGAAATTTTTTTACTGTTCTTAAAAAATAATCAATCAAATAACAAGCCTGGAAACAATAGAAAACCATTTCTTTTAAAAAAAAAAAGAAAAGGCGCAACCTTCAAAATTAGACAAAAAATGATTTAAGAATTTACTGATTATTTTCAGCAATTTGTAATTTTGTTCTACAATTACATGATTAGTATAAATTAGATTCAAGTATGTAGAATAGAACAGTTAATAGAGTAAAATTGTGTACTCTCTTAGATTGTCTCTATAGTTAATCTTTTTTTTTTCGTACGAGATAAAATTGTTCTATTAGATTAAGTGAATAATATTCCAGTCTAACAATTAAGATTGTAAGAACATTACATTATTTATTAAGAAATTATGAAATTCATGATTCTTCAGTTCAGTTCAGTTCAGTTCAGTTCAATTCGGGATCAAAATCAACTGAACCTCTATCAATCATCTAGTTTATAAAATTAAAAATAGCAGTATCAAAACCACATCCTTCTATAATATGAGTAGTAAAACAATTCAATGAAAATCAAAGCAAATGCATACTGCTTACAACAACTTAATGAAGTTTTAACTTTTCAGAAATAGTTTTAAAAGTAATTCTACATATTATACTCCTATTATTGTGACCTAATATATATAGCTAAATCAATGGTAATAAAATTATTATACTGGAATCATTAAGCATTACTCTCGACAGAAATATCTCATTGTATATGTAAGAACGTGAGATATGTGAGCCAGCATGAACAGAAATCTTCCGCTATTATTAATAAAGTGGTAATCATTAATCATCCTAGTTTTCACCCCTTTAAATTAATTATCTTTTATAGTTAGTAGTATGTAATCACGGGAACGAGAGGTACCTATACATCCTATTGACATAACTAATTCAAGAAATATTCTTAATCAACTTGGGAGTATGGAATCTTTAGAAAGCTATTCATGAACTAACACTAAAATACTCCTACCATCTGTTAAAGAGTTTACATTTGTGAAGTATTTTTGGCGGCAGACCGCTCACGATAACAATGAAAATCAATTGGTGAAGATCAATCCAGTTAATGAGATGTTTAAGTGGTACATTTAACCGAACTCTTTATAATCTATAAAGATTTCAGTTTGTCTCAAAACAGAATCTTAGGTTGTCCATATAGGTCAGAAAATTTCAGACATAAACACTGAGGAAAAACACTCTAGTCTAAGAAATTCATCAAGATGTTGCAACTTCAAAAATGTGACCAAACTTACCACTCAGTTGAGGAGTTGATAGATTATCAATTAACTGACCGTAAGCAAGTTGTCTAGCTGGTAGTTTATATGTAGACTGTAAGCGTAGAATTGCATCTACTGCACCACTGACATCATTATCACCAGGTAGCATATCTGTATGTCGTTTAACACGTGATCGAATTGTATTCATTGTGATTGTGTTTTGAGCATCAGAAATATTTAAATAGTCTGACTCCTCAGTATCACCCTTTTGAAAACCGTTTGGTACATTGTCAACAAGTTGACTGATCTGTGATTTCCAACTTGATGAGAGACGCTTCATTGTAAGATAAGCATTAATCGGATTGCCTAAATATTCTTCTAGGTCATTATCCTGTTGATTTAACGTTGACGAGGCGTCACTAATTGATCCATTAGCATCCAACACTTTGACAACTTTCCGAATACGATTAAGACGTCTCTCTTCAAGGGCAATGTAAGAATTTAGATCAGACACTAGTTCTTGACTTAACCTCCATGCTTTCGTTATATCAACAACAGCAGTGTAGTATTCGGCATTTATGTTCTGTTGAAAAAGCAGTAACCAGGTAATAGTGAATGAAAGCAACGCCATTCTCGTTGTTTACAGTAGTAGAAAATGACCCGTTAATAAAAATATTGTGTTAATCAATTAGGGAAACTGAATATGAATTTTTATGATCGATAGACAAACAGACAGTTCACTTATAATAAGCAGGAAAGTAAGTAAATAAACAAAACACCAATAATGTTACTTAGTTCATTTAGTGTGCCTTTCAATGTGCCCTTTACGTGAATTTATACGAAATGGGAAGACAATTGATTATTTCCAAGCATTTATTATAGTTGTTAAATGAAAGAACTGCCATTGGATAATAAAGGGGAAAATTGAATAATTCCAACAAAATTCACTAGAAAATACCGTAAACTGACGACTAAGAAGGAAGACTGTTATCTAAATACTGTTTGGAATCTTGATACGGTACCCTGTTTTTGATGATAAGTTCCTCTGTTCCATGCCTGAAACATATGATTAAACCATTTTAGAGAAATCTAAACAGCATTATGAGATCCCATGACGCATGTGCCATTGGCTACTCATTGATAAACACAGTGTCGACGGTCAATTATTTTGGTAATACCTTTTCCTCTGATCTCTCTTGGTCATCTCACGTTTTATTGTTATCGAAGGTTTTCCGTCTGACTTACTACATAAAGAGATTGCATGCTCTTGGGATCACTCGTCATTTATTCTTATAATTTGTCAATTCTTGCATACTACCTATTATTCTTTACTGTTCACCATCATTCTTTCCCGGGCTTTCGAGAAAAGACTTTGATGGAGTTTTGTTCTCTGAGCTGGATGGTTTGGTCGTGGAGCTTTCATCGTTCTTCTGAACGACATCATCAGCACAAACTTCAGATAGAAGTGAAGTGTTCGAATTTCTCCATATGCGTTTCACAGCTTGTTTTGTGCACTTCGATGTTGATTGGTTCTTATTGACCTTAAATTTGTCATTGTTTACCTTTTTGTCTTGGTTTTTTCTCCTAATGGTTTGATTCGTGTTCCTATATTTGTGCATAAGTTTCCTGATTGGTTGATAAATCGGATCGATTTCAATATGTTTGTTGATTGCCGATTGACCTGAGTGCCAGGCTTCTAAAAATTCTCTTGTGTTTTTAGAATTTCCTCTGTCCACGATTTCCACATTTTTCCAATCGAATGTGTATCCGCAGTTGTCCACGTGTATTGATATAAAAGACTTTGCTGTACTGCAGAGAGTGCTGAAGGCAGTTAGCAAGGTATGTGGTGAATCTTTCGAGATCATAATTAATATGGTTGTGGATAGACATCTAAAGTCATGCAAACTCCTGGCAGATGTTGTTTTATCAGATACTAACCATCCCCTTCACTCATATCTTTCTCCTTTAACGTCTTCTGGTAGAACAAGACGAAATTACATTAAAATCCAAGCACGCAAGCAAAAGTATAAAAGTTCTATAATACCTTACCAAGCAAATATACTCTGTGACGAACAAGTTGTTAGAGTTAGCTTAGTCAATAACCTACACTCTTAACATGTATCTCATTTGGAAAGCTGTGCAGTTTTTCAGATTTTTTTATTAACCTTTTTTGTCTTTGTTTCTGTTTTGTTTTTTTTTTGTAAAAGAAACTTGTTGAAATATTTTTGTGCTGAGAATTCTATATTGTACCAAAATCCATAATATTGAATAAAGCCATAGAAATAAATAAATAAATATAATGATCAGCATTTACATGAACTCAGTTTGCTAAGAAGAAGAAACAAAAAAACCGCTTTTGAAACAATCTCAGCTATTGAAATTTAAATAATTTCAATCGCTGAGATTGTTTCAAGTATAATTTTCACATAAAATGTTTTAGTGGCCCGTGATCTGACTCCAATTTGGTCGTAATGATTGGTTGCTATCGTCTATCCTCGTATATAATCATTGACTTAAATCGCGTTAGTTAATAACGGAATTAAATAAGTCAAATAACGAGAATGGAGTTTTGAATGCATATATTTTGTATAATTGTTGATTAGACAAACGAACGGGAGAACGACGCGAAGAGAAGAAAGCGAAGCAAAATTGACGAGCGGTGGAGATAACTGGTAAGCCAACTCCCCCTTTAACAAAGAGTTAATCAATATTTATAAGCCCACAAAAATAAATTACAGACATGTGATGAGTAACGGGATAAGAAGTGTGCATACGCCTACGCGCTCATACAAAGACAGTCAAGACATTGATAAGCGAATAATTAACAAGGTCAGAATGTGACTCAAATAGAATGAATAGAATGGGCTGTCCGGAAGTTAGAATAATAAGGTATTTGGGCTTAACATAATGACAGACACTACAATGTCTTCTCTATACTCGGCGCCCAATTTCTGTCAAACTATTCGTTTTAATCTTGACAAATATTCGTACAAATGCTTTTGTTTAGTTCTACAACGAAAAGTTAATTTGACTGAACGTAATTTTTCCTTCTGTTTCCAAACTGGTAGCTGATAAAAGCCTGGGCCAATTACATAATAAACCATCTGTTCATTTTTGATATACTTGTCTATCTTTTAAACTTTCCAGATCATAACAGATACAATAGTTTATAATTACACAACTAAGACAGTCAAGCTAGATAAATGGTAAATTCACAAATAACTAACAGATCAAAAACTAACTTACCAATAGTTTATACAATAATACTGCAAGAGAATTACTTTCTTCTCATGTGCTCTTTGTTTAAACAAAGTTATCATTTTAGATACGGCCCTACAACCTTCATATTTTGCCGTTGCGTTTAGTATCTACTTAACAAACATTCTGTCATTATGAACATGAAAACTAATCATCTCGTAAAAATAAACTAACAATAGTATCTGTAACCCAGGACCGGTTATCAAAAGACTAGGAAAACGCCGTAGTAAGTCCTGTCTTCAAAACAGTCGCGAAAGATAAACCTGAGAACTATCGACCTGTAATCCTAACTAGCGAGGTCGTTAAAATTTTAGAAAAGATTATTCGGAAGGAGTTGTTTAAGCATCTCGACGAAAACCGGATTCTTTCTGAAGAACATATGTAAGCGAATAATATTGTTCTCGATTAGATCTTCATCAAGCTTTACTCTAATATACAGTAATACTTAAATGAATATACGAAGTTATTATCGTATTCTTATTAGTTTTCCTTATGGGGTTCGATCTGATCTCTTACAGATAGCAAAAACTATAGGAATTCGAGTTAATAAACCAAGTCTTTGCATTCATAAGAAATTTGTAACACTTTTATCTCTCTCTTGACCTCAATAAGTGATTTTAATCATTATTATTCTAAAGCAATTATTCTACATACTCTTTGTTCGTTTATTTTTCTTCACCTCCTCCACCTATATTTTATAAACGCTTCGTTGTCCAATTGTCTGAACATACTTTGTTGCGTAATCTTATGGTTTTTATGAATACCATTTCAGCATCTATATTTCTCAAGTCATTATGAAACATTGATTTAAGCCTTTGCTATTCTTATCACAACTAGTACATCTGTCATCATATTATCAATTTGTACGTTTTACTTATTAAGTTTATTTATGTAATTTATTCCACTGTTATCACTGGTCGAGACAAGCCCTAACTTGGAATCCTGAAAGGAAAAGGAAAAGAGGAAGATTAAAGAACACACTGTCTGGAATTGGAAGCAGATATGAAAAGGATGAATAACAACTGGAAAGGATTACCCAGGACAGAGTTGGATGGAGAGTGCTAGTAGGTGGCGTATCCTCCTCCACCAGGGCTAACAGGCGTAAGTTAACACTGACACATAAACTACGGTATATTAAAGTAAAACCTGATGATGGTCTAACCGAAAACAATATTGATCGCTTATATATGTTGTTCTAAATCACAATATTGAAATTTTTCAAATCTTTCTGAAAAGCAGCATGGCTTTAGAACAGGTTATTCCTATCTCACTAACTTATTAGTAGCCCGTGAAAGTTGGTGCGCTCTTAAGGACCAAAAGTTACCTATAAATGTAGTCTATATTGAATTCAGCAAATTTTTTGATAAAGTTCCTCACAACTGGCTGCTATATAAATTAGGCAATATCGGAGTTGGAGGCAATTTATTGATGCGGATAAAGGACTTCCTATTCGGGCGCCAACAAAGAGTACGGGTGAACTCAAAGTTGTCTAGCTGGGAAACTGCTTAGAAGAGTGCTTCAGGGTACAGTTTGAGTGCCAATGTTGTTCCTCTTGTATGTAAATGACCATCCTAGTCCCCTAACATCATCGGTTTTTTATATTTTGAGGATGTCAAGATATGGAGAGTAATACGAAGTAAGGGTGATAGCTTAGAACTCCAGAATGACCTGGAGAAATTATCTGAATGGTCTCAAACTTGGCAGTTGCCAATAAATGCTCTCAAGTGCATTATGATGCATATTGATCATCAAGGTACAGATACATACACATTGAATAACATTGAACTACCTGTTGTCCAGACACACGACTTAGGAGTCATCGTTAACCAAGACTTAGAGACTACTGCACACTACCGTGCGATAACTGACAAAGGTTTTAGAACCATATAGTCAATAAGTATAGCCTTTGACCATGTCGACTTTATATACAATATTCGTTCGTCCGAAACTCGAGTACTGCATACAACCGGCTAGCCCTTTCTTAAAAAAGACAGTGAATTGTTGGAAAACATTGAAAGAACAACAAACAAGCTGATTCCCGGAATAGCGAATCTACCGTATGATGGTCGATTGGCTAAGCTAAACCTATTTCCATTATCATATCGAAGAACTAGAGGTGACTTGATTACGGTTTTCGAATTGCTTAGTGGTAAATTTGCACTTGATTTGCCCTCATTTTTCTTGTCTTCCAAAACAGAGAATTTACGAGGACACTTGTCAGCTGACTATCGACTTTCTCACTGCATCATCAACGAATGGAATCCATTGAGTGAACACATTATTGAATCTCCGTCCGTCGACTCTTTCAAAAGAAAGCTATATCGACTGAGAGACCACCATTACGAGGGCTAACACGGACCACCTAGTCTCCTGTCGTTTCGAAAGTGAAACTGTTTGTAAAAGCACTGAATCAAGCTTCATAACATCTATAATGTCTGGACAAAATAAACGCTACAAATATTCTGATTAAAGATTTAATGCTGATTATTTTGTTCCTAGGCCAGAAATACAATCTTTGTAAATAAAGCTCTTAACATTTTTTTAAGTAAATAACTTTCAATAGTTTCTGTATTTAGAGCTTATATTTTCAAGTTGACTAACTGTATATTTATATGAATGAAAGTATATATGTATATTCGGAATACATTTAAGATATCTAATCTTTACAACCGATTGTGATTACATTCATGTATAGATTGTTGATTAATAATAACAGAAGTTATTCTCAAGTTGAGTTGCAGTCAATCATCCACGGTTTCTATGATTTTGTCTTTCTGTTCGGTATATTATTTCTGATGAATTGGCTTGAAAACGTATCTTAAATGATGTGATTTCATAAGTTTAAGTTGAACATTTTATCAAAGTATTTCCTATATATTTAGTTGGTAGGACATTTGATCTATCTCCTAGATTCTCACTCTGCAAAAATAAGTGGGTTTTTCGTTAATTTTCCTAGTAGCCAAGCTGTTTGCAAGTACTATGACTGTCCCATAAACATTTTGAACAC